GGGTTTTTTTTTTTTTTTTTGCCCAATTCTGATCAGTTCTATGGGAGATTTCTTTTGTTAAGATTAAATATTTATTCTTAAATATGTCCTGGGATTTTTTTATTTTTTAATATTTGAATTTTTAAGTAATTTTTAAGGAATGAGTATTTGTATATTTTCTCATTATCTTTTTGACGATCCATCTTGTCCGATTGTAGTCTCAATAGAACTGAATGATTTCAAATGTGTGTGAACAGTTACTCGCTTACTACACTGTCTCGGGATTTTGGGTTCGGTACGTGTGATCAAGGCATTAATAACTACGGCGAGTCGCCCGGGGCAAAGCGCTCGAGGCTACCCGCCCGTTACCCCAGCCCCTATGAAATAGTGATGTTACGACGATGTATCGATATTCGACGACTATTTATGTTATACTTCTTTTGGCGCGTCAGGGAAAAATGATAAGTGTTAATTTTTTAATACGTGCGCACACCGTCACAAATAACCGACACTCTGAAGTTAGCATAGTCATCATTTTATTTTTTTTTGTGATATTTAAATAAACTTTATTTAACTAGATACTGAGTTATGATAAAATTTCAATGTATTAAATACCTTTTTTTCTATTGTTAGTTTAGTTTTTCTACAAACGTAGAATAAGGCGAAAGATAAAAATTTTAAAAAGTTTTTTTATCTTGTTACGCCAAAGAACTATAACTTCTAACGCGTGTACATTAGTACACACACATGTTATTTTTCGTGTGAAAGGCGAAAACACAATTACGTTATGCAGAAACTTTTTTGTGAAGTTGTCGGCTATTTTCAGATTTAACGTAACTATAAGTTGACCTAGAGTCTAGGTTCGACTTCCGGCGATAAATTAAATATTTCTGCTTGATTGGCACAGGAATGTTCCTAATTAATGGAATTTGAGCCGTATTGTTTAGGGAACTTAAGACAACAGTCGAATCTTCGCGTTAATTTTAGACATGACAGCGTATAATAAATCGATGAACGCCGGGTGCAAGCACGAAAAAGCATGACTCATTGTCCCGTTACACTCATTGTACGCTTGGGCCGCATCTTTCTCTCTTCCACTCGAAGATTTAAGTATGAAATAATTTCATCAATGATTTGTTATGACGTTGTCACGTTAAACTATCGTCCGTAAACCGACTTTACAGATTTTATTTACATCCAATAACAAACTGAACTAAAGATTTCTCAATCAGTTTTGCTGAGTTTCTTGCCAGTTCTTCTCAGAACAAGGCCTCCTGGTTGTTTTGCGAACGGATGATGTAGTCTTGCTCTTTCTTGTAAACGTTTTTGACATTCATAAGCACGCCCTAAGACGCATGTAAACTGAATAAACGTATTTTGATTGATTGAGTCACTCACTCAGTCACTCCGCTGGCTCTGTGACCCAAAAAAGTGTCTGATCTCCGAAATGAGAAACTTCCAGTTCCACCCGCCAATTACTGGCTTTCAGCTGTAGCAGGTCCACCCTCTATAAGGGTAATGGAAAAACCTTAACATCATCAACCAAAACATCGATATACCGTAAGCATCACTAGAAATATTTGCATTGTAACTCTACAGAGAAAAGTTTATGATTCATACCGAGCGCGACTGTTGGTGAGATTGGTTGTGTTTTGGCAGTTGTGTAATTTTAGTGTATTTTCGGTGAGTAATAATATCTATAAATGTTCGAAGAGTGAGTTTGCAGTAACGATATTTGTGTATCTTATGTGAATCTCTGAGAGATAAATTCAAGGAAATTAATATACTTACCTTTCCCTCGCAATATTTATGAAAATATTATGTATGTATATAAAAATAGTGATAAGTTTACTAGAATAGAACATACGCACAATGTTAATACTCGGAACAAAGGCTGCAATTTCCCCGTACTAGACTATCTAAAGTGAGTCATTCTTTTTTGGGAAAAGGGATACTCTTGTTTAATAAAATTCCAGAGGCTCTTTTATCTCTGCTTTTTAATAAATTTAAGAAATGTATTAAAGAAAAGCTGTGTAGAAAGGCTTACTATAAAGTTAACGATTATCTAGTTGATAAAAGGGCCTGGGACTAATGCTAGACAGGCTACTTCTAATTAATTTGCGATATTTGTTTTAAAATAAGTGTTGTTTGATGATTTGCTATCGGGGTTTCTCGGCAGCGCTCCCAAAGTTGCTTAGAGATTTTCTCGGTAGATGCCCAGATACGAAGACAGCAGTTGACGAAGACGTGGGGTCGGTGGCGTAACTACACCATCGGCCCGTGGCAAATTCTTTTGAGCCCTATCAGTAGAAATCGTCCCTACTCAGTTTAATTTTAATAAACTTCGAGATTTTCGGCGTACTCAATTACACGTTGTATATGTCCCACTAATGGCCATAGGCCTCCTCTATTAGGCGAGAGGGAATGGTCTGTGGTCCCCACGCTAGCCCAATGCGTATCGGAGACTTCACATTCATCTATAGAACATAATATCTCTTGGGCAGGGGCCCTCTTGGGTCGTGGGCCCGTGGCATTTTGCCAGCCCTGCCACCCTATTGTTACGCCACTGCAAGTACATTTATGAACGTCAACATTAAATATGTTTAATTGATTCTAAATTTACATTTACTACCAATTCGCAAGTCAAGGGCGTAGGGCAAGAAACTCTCCGCCACTCTTTTTAGTCACCAAGTTTTAAGTCATACAAATTGTTTGAACTGGAGCAAATCAATCATTTAAATAATCGTCAAATTTATAGAAAGCTTTGTTAAATAATTTACGTTTCACGAGAGTGTTGAATTTATTTAGTGATAATTCTCTAATTTTACTTGGGAGTTGGGTGTAAAAACGAATACAATTTCCATATAAGCAGTGGTTTATCTTCTGGAGCCTGGTTGGTTGTACACTTAAATTAGTTCTGTTTCGAGTATTATACTGGTGAAAGTCACCATTTATTTTAAAATCGTTTATATTTTTTTGTACATTCAACAAGGCTTCAAGAATATATTGACCAGATAGTGTCATAATATTTAATTTCAAACAAATACCCCGAACGTTGGATCCGAGTATTTTAACCAATAAACGAAATATTTATGATGATTTATTATCTTGGTTCGTGAATATCAAAAATAATATTACAAGATTAAGAAACTTTGTAAACTTCTTTTTGTTACTTATATGATGATTTTGATGTGTTATAACTTAAAATGAAATAAATAAAAACTTTAACCTCATTAACAGTATAATATTATAATCTTAATATATATAAATTATCTTAATATATATAAATTACGTGTCACGTTGTTTGTCCGCGATGGACTCCTAAACTACCGAACCGATATCAATCAAATTTGCACACCGTGTGTAGTTTGATCCAACTTAAAAGATAGGATTGCTTACATCTCAATTTATACCCGCAATATTATTTTATTGCAAAATATTTGTTTATTATTTGATAGTCACAATTCTAACAGATGGCGCTGTGTTGAAAGTACCAACGTTTCACATAAGCTACAATTTAATGGCATAACCACCACAAAAGCATGGTGGTCCCCATGACTGGTGTTCTCCTACCGTTTCCCTTGAATAGTTTGCTACTATGTAATATAACAAAAACCTTAGCCACAGCAAAGCTTGGCCGGTCTGCTAGTATATATATAAATTACGCGTCACGTCGTTTGTCCGTTATGGACTCCTAAACTACCGAACCGATATCAATCAAATTTGCTCACCGTGTGGAGTTTGATCTAACTTAAAAGATAGGATAGCTTACATATATATAATTCTACTGTACGTGTGTATGTCTCTGAACTCCTCTTAAACGGCTCGACCGATTTGAATGATTTCTTTTGGATGGAGCCCTGGATGGTTTAGATTCACAAATCAGCCCAGCAGATGGCACTGCAGTCGGTACTATCATACTTTGTTTAATATCCTAATCGCTTGAAATATCATGCAGGACAGCGGTAAATAGGTAGGTAGATTGATTAAAGTGTTGCAGCAGTGTTGTCCTACTGGTTTCAGCATGCGACTCTCATCCCTGAGGTCCCGCTCTTACGAAGAGAAACATCGTGAGGAAATTTGCCTAAGACCAAAATACTCGACGGCGTGTGTGGCTGATCGCCTACTTGCCTATTAGATTGACATATCATGCAACAGATACGGAAATCTGAGGCCCAGAGCTAAAAAGCTTTTAGCGCCACTGATTTCAATTTGGCATACTCCAATCTTCTTTATAATCCACTTCCAAATACCCCTAATGATTAAAAACCACTATCGAGTATTGTAGAGCCAAAAATAAAACGAATAACAGCACATTCGTTTGGCCGAGTGTGTTTATTAAATATTAATTTTACGAGGTATTTAAATGAAAAGCATTTGGCGTTTAATTCATTATTGTTCCGCGAACTGTGTCATTTGTTACCAGAGCGGGCTGAAAGAGACGCGCGCGTGAAAAAAGTGAGTGCGTACAAAACACACAATGTCAGAAGTGAAACTTCTTTGGCAAACTATTTTTTAACTCTTGTTCATATTTATACAAATTTACTTTATATTACCGAGACTTAGAGGGAGGGAAAAAGGAAGATATGTTAGGAATTTAATGAATTTAATTGTCATAAAAATTTTAAAAGTGTCGAAAATAATAAATTTAATTTTTTAATTTATTTCTTGGATAATAAAAACACGTAGCATTTTAATTTACAATTCGTCATTTGTAAATTAAAATGCTACCTGCATGAATTCTGTTTACGAAATTTTAATTTTAAAAATAGAATTTCTATAAGGTAAATTCTCACTCTCTCTCAATCGCTCTCTCGCTATTCTTCGACAAAAACGCTGCACATCTTCGTGACGTTCCAAATGTGACCCTCATGCGCCTAAAGAGGTTTCACTTCAATAATAAAAAAACACCCGGCCATCTTGATTTAAGGGGAGAACCCCCCTCACTGCTATTGAAAAACGTGTTTAAACTTGACACCTGACAGCTGTGATTACAAATTTGACAATTGACATTTCAGATAATGCAACGGGTAAAGGAAGATTGTCTCTATTGGAACGAGGATCGCTATGAAGCTAAATTGTTCAATGACATGTCGAACGAAGCAAGATTCTGTATGCCACGCGTGGCTGAACCAAGTCATATGACAGCTCCCGTCCATATCGATGTTGGTGGTGTGATTTATACATCCTCACTGGAAACTTTGACCGTGTAAGTACACATCTGCACTAAATCAAATCAAATCAAAATCATTTATTCATTTCGGTAACACAATGTACTACTTATGAACGTCAAAAAAAGACTCATGCTTCTAATTTTACATTTACTGCCAGTTCTCAAATCAAGGGCGAGAAAGAGAAGAACTGTCAATAAACTCTCCGCCTCTCTTTTTAATCGCCAAGTTTTTTTTCACACAATGTTTGTAAGGAGCTGCAACCATTACACCATGTTCCACGTGAAATCTTGAGTAATTAATAATAATAAAATAAATTAAAAACAAGAGGCATGGTGCAATGGGAGCACGCACTTACATTCTCGTGGGAACAACACGCAAAACTGGATGCTTATAAAGGATAATTAATTAACTCAAACGATTTTTAAATTTTAAAGTAAGATTTTACAGTAATTTGGTTCGACAATTAGTTACCTGGAAAGTTTTGAAATTTCGTAGATTTTATTTATTTGCTCTTTCCGTCTTTTGGAAATATTGCCACCATATTGGAACAATGGCGCGTAAAAGCAGCTATTTGACAATTCATTACTGACACATTTTACGATAAAAAAATAGTATTGTCTTTGATTAACATAACCTTTACACATTTAAAGAAAAACCTTTTTAACCGGATTAAAGTTATGTATTATTATAAATTTACAATTATTTAACATAATTTTAAACCGTGACCACGCACGCTGTAAAGCACGCGAAACGTCGGATAAATTTAAAATTATGTTAAATAATTGTAAATTTAATAATACATAACTTTAATCCGGTTAAAAAGTTTTTTCTTTAGATAAAAAAATACCTAAAATGGAAAAAAGAAAAATAAATTCTAAGCTAGGTCCAACAATTTATTGATCCTTTTTTATATAATGTCAATAGTTTTGGAGTACGATCACCGCATGGATTTAATATCTAAATTTTTTCTTCACTGAGACATCATGGAACATTACGATCTAGCCTTAAGGATATTAACATAATGTGTCTAATTACAGTCTCTTTCTCTTCTCTAAGGGGAAGACACTCTGTTCTTGTGTACTATCATTCCACTTACCACTTACTTGTTTAGCACTTAAGAGTAACGTGCACGAACACTAATTCACTAATTCGAATTCATGGCCAATCTTCTCACTAGGCCCATGGTTTCAAGAAGTTGAAAAGCGCCGCGTATTCCTTCTTCCTATCCGGTGCACTCTTGACAGAGCGGTCGTGATCGCTATGAAGTGGTAATGGAAGGGGCAATGGGGGGCGCGTATTCCGCGATAGCTTAAACAAGTCAAGGCTATATTGGTCGTTGTAAGTCCGGGCTGCGCGATACAACACTGAGTTGGCCTAATGGTTTCAGCGTGCGACTCTCATTCCTAAGGTCATAGGTTCGATCCCCGGCTGTGCACCGATGGATTTTTTTATAATAAGTGCGCATTTAACATTCGTTCGAACGGTGAAAGAAAACAAGTCTTAGACCCACAAAGTCAACGGCGTGTGTCAGGCACAGGTGGCTGATCACCTACTTGCCTATTAGATTGACATATCATGAAACAGATACAGAATTCTGAGACCTAAAAACGTTGTAGCGCCACTGATTTATTTTCCACATTAAGATTAGTTACTAATAAATAAATGATGTCTTCAGATTTCCAGAATCGAGACTCGGGAAGATGTTCTCTGGAAGCATTCCACTGGTCCTGGACAGCCTAAAACAACATTACTTCATCGATCGAGATGGTGCGATGTTTCGGCACATTTTGAATTATTTACGAAATCGGCGGCTCATTTTGCCAAATAACTTTGCTGACTATAACCTCTTGGTCACGGAGGTAGAGTACTTCCAACTTCATCGTAAGTATTAATGAAGTATCCGATTGACTTCCTATGACCCTGGATGGGGCAGACAGCAGGGGCCACCCCAGCTACAAATACGGATTGACCGCACGGAACTTTTACGTCCGAACCCAATAATCATTCCACAATCTCAGATTAAAAACAATCTGAGATCAGGCCGTGACAGTCGATCGATCTCCTATCTGCATCCCAATAACCAAACCCTACGAAGACAATCCATTTTTGGCGACGGAAAAATGCTCTTTGTTGTTCCATTTTACCGAGTTTTCTCTCATATTCGATAATCAATGTAAACCAAATAAAATAAATAAAATCCGTTCAAATAACATTAAAATATACATGTGTATGTTTAAAACATAAGAAACAGTTTTTTTAATTATTTAAAAAACTGGTGTAAGTTTAAATCTGTTAAAAAAATTAACTCTTGACATCGAGCTTTCGTCAACTGTCGTTTTCATACAAAGGTCTATCCACAGACACCGATAGGGTCGCCCCATGGATAGCTTGTATCGACAGATGGCTCTTACAATCCGTCGATTGGTTATTGGGTCACTTGCTACAACATTTGGATTAAGATTACTATCTCAGTGGATAGTAATCTTAATCCAAGTGGATTATGGATTGAGATAGGTTATTGGGTTCGGGCGTTAAGGGAATTCTCTTTGAATAATATTTTGTAGTAACTGCTAGCACTACTGTAAATTCTGACTCGCGGTGATCATCCCTGTTTTATTCTGTACTGCACATTTTTTTTATAGAACGGGGCAAACGGGCAGCAGGCTCACCCGATGCTAAGTGATACCGCCCATGGACTTTTTCAATACCAGAAGGCTCACGCGTACGTTGCCGGCCTTTTAAAAATTGGCACGCTTCTTTCTTGAAGGACCCTAAGTCTATTTGGTCCAGTCATTCATTAACTTTGTAGCGAGGCAATTGGCTATTTCCGACAGCTAAGAACAACTCGACACCAGCCTCTGAGGACTTAGTTACTCAGAAACGAGACTTAAAAGTGAGATCCATGTCAGAAATAGAGAGAGAGAAACAGTAATCTGTTTGTATCTCTGTCTGTAGTTCGCGCTTAATCTTTCGTTCGTTCGTTTCTGTATCTTACCTATCAGGGCCTGCCATTCTGGTGGTGCCATCCTCTTTAGGCTTCAGGAAGAGCCCAACGTCCTTGCTCCACTTTAAACTAACCAAGATTTCGAAATCCGCTCTTGGGATACTGCGCAGGATTTTTACATAATTTACTAATTAGATATTAACTTTTTCAGAAATGTTAGAAGATTTAGAGAAATGGAATTCTGAGCGAGAGATCAAAGTGAAGGCGACCTGGGATCACGCAAATGGATATAGTTGAAGATTTGAGGTACTTGTCAAGATAAATGTTTTAAATACAGCTGACTGTACTACAGCTGACTGTACTACAGATGACTGTACTACAGCTGACTTTACTACAGCTGAATGTACTACAGCTGAATGTGCTACAGCTGAATGTGCTACAGCTGACTGTACTACAGCTGACTGTACTACAAATGACTGTGCTACAGCTGACTGTACTACAGCTAAATGTGTATCTTTCCTATATCATTTTCTCCCACGTTAAATCTTATGAATTTACGTGTCTGTCTCTTTTACTGACGCTTTTTTGTTTCACCGACTTTCAAATCACAATGATGCTAAAGAAGTTTTCACTTCTATACTTCTTCTTTATATAACAAACGGGCAGGAGGCTCACATGATGGTTAAGTGATACCGCCGGCCATTGACACTCAATGCCCGAGGGCTCGCATATGCGTTGCCGGCCTTTTAAGAATAAGTCGAATTGGTTCGGTAATGTGGGCAGCTGGTTCCACATAGTGGTGGTGCCTTAAACAACGCTTAGTTGTGAAACGACGGACGTCCGATGATGAAACTCAGCTGCAGGTATTAATCCGAACTCCCCTGAACAGTCTCCGTGGTAAAAACCTGCTTTTGAACTTAGAGAGGCAAATCCAATAAATTTTTAACATATGGAAGCCATACATTGAGTGGCCATGGGCGGCGCTGTCTCTGCACCTCCAGCTTCTTGTCCACTGTTGCATTATAGAACGTTTTTGCTGATAAAAATATGTCATATATATATTTACTAGCTGCCCCCGCGAACTTCGTTTTTCCTTAATGTGATTTTACTTAGCCTACCTTTTTAGTACATACCAACATGGAACATTTTGCTATGCTACCCCAGAGACTGTTCGGTTCTCTATATAAACCTCAGAGTTCAGGTCATAAGATTGTAATTAACAAAAAAAATAGGGGTTGATCGTAGAGGGGCGAAAGTTAGGGGTGGTATTTATTTTTGTATGCTGTATCATAAAAAAAAATAAAAACAAAAAAGGCCAATTAAATGTTAGGGGTGGACAACCCTTATCACTTAGGGGTATGAAAAATAGATAGTAGCCGAATCTCAGACCTACTGAATATGCATATAAAGTTATATAAAAATCGGTCAAGCCGTTTCGGAGGAGTATTGTGACACGAGAATTTTATATATAAGATAACATACTTCTTGTTACAGATATTGATACGAATCGCGCATTATTTGCATTATGCGAAATGACAGCTGAGACGTGCGAGGCGTGGGTCGAGCAGATTTCTGACAACAAGTAGAATTCATTCGAAATTCGAATACAGCAAAGCAATGGACGTGATTCAGAATTCAAATTACGCCACTGTTCTATTCATAATTCGAAATTCAAATTACCGCACCACAGTTCTATTCATAATTCGAAATTCAAAACGCGCTATATAGATTAAACATAAGTATTTTATTGGGAGAAAATAAATAAAAATTATTATATTTTAAGTATTTCATTTTTGTATAATGTCATATAATTTAAATGTAAACGATATATCAATTTGGAGGTAAGGAGGGACCTTCTTCTTCTTTTTCCTCCCGTTACTCATACCTCTACAAACATAAAATTCTTTCAAAAACTGCATAATATACACGCTAGCGCTAGATTCTCTAATTACATAATTACAGGTGACTTTAATTTACCTCATCTCAACTGGTTATCCTCTCCAGATACCCTACTACAATCTGCAAATACTGAGTCATCTAAATTATTGTTGCATACCATGTCTTTCATGAATTTAAAACAAACTAATGTTGTCCTCAATAGCAATGCGCGGCTCCTAGACCTAGTCCTAACAACGCTTCCCGGGCGTGTTGATTATTCCGATGACCCGTTGCTTAATCCTGTTCCTCATCACCCGCCTTTAGATATTCTTAGTACTGTTAATAGGTCAATTGTAATGACATCAGCTGTTTTCCATCAAAGAAATTTCTTTAATGCAGATTATGACTTAATAAATAATGCTATCGATACGGTAGATTGGGTGTCACTACTGGCCTCGTCCCATTCTGAAGATGCTGTTGCCATCTTCTACTCAAAAATAAATGAAATTATTTCTGTTTGCGTGCCATTCTCTAAACCTAAATCCCGTAAGTATCCAGTTTGGTTTAGCAGAGGACTGATAAGAGCTCTTAATCGTAAGAAGAAACTCTGGTGTCGCTGGAAGGCCTATAAAAACTTGCTCGACTATCAGGAATATTCTTTATTAAGGGCACGTGTTAAAAGTCTTATGAAACTTTGTCATAATCGATATATAGAAGGGATTTTCGCTAAAAATAAATATCAAACACTTTTGGGAATACACGTCTACTCTAAAACAAACTAATGTAGGATATCCTAAACTAATTGAATATGGAAGTATTTCATCTGACGACCCTAAACAAATAGTTGAGTTGTTTTCAAATTATTTTCAGTCAGTATTTGAATCTCAAACTGAATCAGGTGGAGACACTGTATACACCGTTGAAGAGAGCCTTCCCAATAACTCTCAGATCCTTATGTATAATTTATATTTCGATGAAGATGAAATCAGCAAAGAACTGTATTTGCTTGACCCAAATAAAGGTCCTGGTCCAGATCAAATAAGACCAGTTTTTCTCAAGCAAACACATCGGTCATTATGTGTCCCCTTACAGATTATATTCAATAAGTGTATGTCCAGTGGCACTTTTCCTGATTGCTGGAAATTATCTTATATAACGCCTATCTTCAAGGCTGGTGAAAGGAGTGATGTCGAAAATTACCGACCGATTTCAATACTTTCTGCAATCCCTAAGGTCATGGAAAGATTAGTTCACCGACGCATTTATTCCAGCCTAAGGCATGCTATTATAGACCAACAGCATGGATTCGCAGCTGGTAAATCTACTCTCTCTAACCTCCTTGTTTTTACTAATTATATTTTAAGCGGTTTGGATAATAAACACCAGATAGACACAATCTACACAGTATTCAGAAGGCTTTTGATAAGGTTGACCATATGATGCTTTTACAAAAGCCATCTTTTAATGGTATTAAGGGCAATCTTTTAAGATGGTTTGCAGCATATTTACATAATCGTGTTCAATCGGTGGCAATAAATGGGTTTACCTCTTCGCAAACAGTAGTGACATCCGGCGTCCCGCAGGGCTCAATCCTTGGGCCGTTGCTCTTTTCCTTATTTATTAATGACATATCTAAATGTTTTTTACACTACAATTATTTGCTGTATGCAGACGATTTAAAGCTATATAAAAAGGTAGTTACACTTTCCGACGTGGAACTTATTCAGGAAGATCTCGATAGCTAGGTGACTACTGCAAAATAAACAAATTATTCTTAAAATATAGTAAGTGTCAGCATATCGTGTTTACTAGTCCCGTACGTTGATATTGCGACTGGCGGCCATCTTAGTGACGTAGTCAATCTGTCCGTGTCAGTACCGTGCGCAAGGTCACCCAGCACTTACGCGTATCTACGACGTGTTTTTTATTGCTTTTTATTTTCGTAAATCGTGTTTTATTTTTGTTGTTTAGTTTTGATATCATACTTGTCCTATTAAAATGAGCAAAAAAGTAATTAACAGCCGTGCTCGTGAAATGATTATTAAAGTGGACAAATTTCGTTAAGGAGAAAGCGGACTCTAAGTTATTGATTCAAAATATAAACCAAGAAATAAAATATAAAATAAGAGCAAGCAAATAAATTAATATTATTATTATTAACTTTTTTGTTGTCTGTACTTTTCTGCGGTGGATGACGTCACGCAGCTGTTATTGTGACAAGGTTCCATCGCAATATCAACGTGCGGGGCTAGTACAAGGAAAACTCATAACGCAATCACGGCCAACTTCACCCTTGGAAACCATGCTCTTGAACGTGTGTGCTCTGTAAGGGATCTTGGTGTCCTTCTTGACTCCAAATTAATACTAGATAAGCACATAGGCTTAATTATTAATAAAGCCTACCGTATGTTAGGTTACATAACGCGTGTCGCCAGACCTTTTAAGACGATACCACGTACATTCACCTCTATAAGACGCTTGTGCAGTCCCAGTTGGAGTACGCCTGTCCAATCTGGAATCTCCAGTACTCTATATATGTCGCACAACTGGAGGCTGTACAAAAGAAATTCTTACGTATTCTAAATTATCGTATGAATGGTGGTAGGTCTAAATATAAGGAACTTTAAAACAAAATTACTTTCTTTGAGTACTAGGCGTAATTTGACAGACTGTGTCACTATTAGAAAAATATGCGTAAATGAAATAACTTGTTCCAATCTTCTCGAACTGATACTATTTAATGTTCCTGAATTGAGGGCGTTAAGTTTCGCCGATCGGCAACAGAAGCCACTATAATTCAGATCCCCGGAGTTGGCAGTGGGGAAAAAGCCGACACTTTAGCCAACCGACTCAAAACAGTACTAAATGACAGCGGAATCAAGATTACACGGCCCGTCCGATGCGCCGATGCCTGCATCTCTGGCTTGGACGACTCTGTTACAGCGGATGGACTGCTCGAGGCGATTGCGGCGAAGGGAGAGTGCTCGGCTGATCAAATTAGGGTCAGCCGCATACGACAAGATAGATCGGGACTTGGCGCAGCCTGGGCTAACTGCCCGGTAACGGCCGCCAAGAAACTCTTAGAGGGGTTTCTTGATCGGATGGGTTGTGGCAAATATTAGTGTTGCAAAACCGGGCACGTATAGCCGTATGTCCGATACTGATCGTAGCCAACTGTGTTTTCGCTGCGGTCAAGCCGATCACAGGGTAGCCTCCTGCAGCGCAAAACCCAAGTGCCTACTCTGCAACGAGGCCGGTAGGAAAGCGGATCAAAGGCTAGGTGGCAACAGTAGCACAACTCCCAAAGTAGCAATTAGAAAACACCAAACACCTCTACCCTACGAGCAACATCTGCTGAGCAATCCTGCTCTTAAACTCAAGGTAGGGTGGAGTACCAGCCCCATATTTATCAATTTTAATATTTTTTAAATTTTTATCCTAAACCCATCGAGCTTGGGCTCATTCAAACCGGCTCGGCGAGTTCTATTTGATAGTGTACATTGTTCCTCTCGCAAACCCCCCTTCACCCCGCAATACAGTACTTTTTTTCCCCCCACCGCGACAAAAACTTTCCACCCACCCCTACCCCCTCGAGTTGGGTATCAATCAACTCAGCTCGAAGAGGTGAATACACCTGTCCTCATTTTAGGCTCATTCCCCCCCTTTCGCAGACATGCTACCCAGAACCCCTCCCAAATCATCCAAATCCGACATTCTGTCACCTCACACGATCACAGCAGCTGCCAGGCGTTCCCTAGTGGTATGAGTCACCCTGAGTCCGTCCTTTGCCCGTTCAGCTCCCCCAACGGAGTCGACATACATGGAGATGGCAAGGAACTATATAGACGGAAAGGCCTGGACGCAGTACTAGCCTCCCGCAACCTTAAGGGTGAGCTCAAAACAACGATCACAGAGGCAATAAACGGCCTCTTTGGAGTCATCGCTATGCTCGACCCGTCCACCCCGTCCCCTTCCAAACCCCTCACGCCTCAGGCCACTAATACCACAGCTACATTATCTAATGACACCACACAAACACAACTGCTACACAAAATGGAGGCCCACTCTCGGCTACTCGAGGAGTCGAACAGGGTCCTGCAGGAACATACCAGGGTTTTAAAGGCATGCCCTAAACCCGCGCCGTCGAAGATACAACCAGTGGCGGCGGACCCGCATAATATTCATCAATCCTACGATAAGGCCGCCGCCACATCCCAAACCCCCTGCAGGCCCCTCCGTAGTAGTGTCCAGAGAGGGTCTCAACACTGCAGAGCAGATAATCACACAAATAAGTAGATCAGTCAATTTCAGAGAGGGCGGGTACACCCCTTTAAAGGTTACCCCGCTATCTAAAAACAAGATAAAACTCGTTTTCGAAAGAGAAGAGCACAAACTACACACACTAACACAACTACAAAAAAACACAATTATAAAAACCCAAGCAGAAAAACGAATCGACCCAATGATCATAATCAACACCCGAAGCCGAACTAATAAAGACGATCAAAGATCAAAACCCGACACTCACCGGCCACACATTCAGCACTAAATTTATATCTAAAAACAGGAACACAACACTTTATAACGTAGTACTTAACACCACACCCTCTGCCTGGAAGGCGTTTGCCGACCTAGGCAGAGTTAACATAGGGATGCAGCGGGTCCACAGCGACAACTTTTTACCGTTTAGGCAGTGCCAAAAATGCCTAAACTTCAGACATACTAAGAGCCGCTGCCCCAATACACACCCACATGCGCCAAGTGCTCCGCTCACCACCTCACAGCGGAGTGCAAAGCCGAAATACATAACTGCACCAACTGCGCTGAACACAATAAACAATTAAACACTAACACTGGCACCCTACACCGCGCCGATTCAGACAACGGCCCTAAAGTAAGGGCCATGCGAGCCCGTGTGGAGGCCAAAATTAATTACATATAAACTCTCAACATATAAAACACACAATAACATCTAATATAATCACTTGAATAAACACAATAAACACAGCAACACAATCACACAAAGCACTAAATTAATGGCGACCTCACACGCGTCTCTTGCCTGGGGGCAGTTGTCTACCTACACCAAGTACACAAAACAACATAATCGTCACCCCACAATAAACATTTAACACCACTACCCCTCCCATACCTATTGGACTCTATCAAATAAATTAATCATTAACAATAATCTGCTCGTAATCCACGCTTACGTATATTAATATATTAAAATTTCGTCCCCTATTACTCACTCTGTGCAATTGTGTAAATTACTTAATCACTTTATCTCATTTGTTCTTTATATAACTCTATTGCTAATTATAAATATAAATGTAATCCAATCAATCAATCAAACATCTATAGAACTGTAATTCTCAAATGCAGTAAAATACAAGCTAATTGCTACTTCTATATTTAACATTTTAAAAATTAAACTCAACTGAAGATCTGTCTATCAAGCATTAATATTACATGCGGACAATCTTAATCTTAACCTTAATGTAAATAATCCCTTTCGACATACTTCAAGGCTGATACGATATTTATCACCACTTCATCACTTTATGTTAATTCATTATATTTCAATTTCTTTCTTTTATAGCAAGCATCAAATATTTTAATACTTTAAGATCTCACATACCAACTAATTTACTTGACACTGAAATTAATTAATTCATATATTTAAATAAGACTACTAATTAAATAATAATAATTAATATTTTAAATATACTAATCATTTCTTATATAATTCGATTTTATACAGCCTAACACCTCAGTGTTTAAAATTTATTTTTTCACTTATTTATACCTTTATTCCGTATATTTTAAATAGGTCATTTCTTACAACATACTAATAATTTTTTATATAAACCTCTGATTTGTACTTTTACATGTGAATACATACTAAAACCTCGTGTAAAGGAGCGGTCTTAAATCGGGCGGCTGGGGGTCGGTTATTGTATCAAATAGCAGAACCGACCCTCAACAACCTACCCGTGTCTAATTCTATATATCTGTATTAGTGTTAAATTTACTTTTGATTGTACTTTTATCTTTAATTCATATTAAACTCTTTGTAAAGAAGCGGACTTAAATCGGGCGGCTGGGGGTCGGTTATTGTATCAAATAGCAAAACCAACCCTCAACCACCTCACCCACGTCCAATGTAAATATTCCTACTTTTACTTTAATAAATAATAAATACCTAAAAAAAAAACAAAGTGTTTCAAGTGTGGCCAAGACCATTCCGCTGATCAGTGCTCTACCCTAGAAGAAGATGCATACTGTTGTTTATGCCAAGGTTCCCATTTTGCCACAAGTAAAAGATGTCTAGAATTTGATCGCCAAAAAGCCATCAAAGAAACTATGGCCAAGAGCTGTATTTCGTACGCTGAAGCATCTAAAATTCATTCACCTATTTCAAAAATGTCTTATGCTGATGATTTACTTTCTTCTTCCAATGTAGGGGCTTCTACTATTTCTACTCCTCAAAATGAACAGCCGCATAAACAGTATTTGAGTAACTCTTACAAAAATACTGTTTTTCTTAAACCAAAATCTATTCCTAAACTATCCAAAGGTTATGACAGAAATACACAACAATAATTAATTAAAGACTATGATATGCCCTCACCCAGAAATGGTTGTGGATTAAACTCAAACAACAATAATGAATTGACATTACGATCAATTGCAGACCTAATTAAAATTCTTATTAACACCTTATCAGAGTCTAATATTCTTTCACCGTCCAACGCTGCTAAAAAAATTATTAATAATGGACAAGTAAGCCAAAGCTCTACAGTGGAACTGTAGAAGTGCTTTGTCTAAGAAAAGTGATATTATTTATCTTATAAATAAATATAAACCTTTTATCTTCACTCTACAGGAGACTTGGTTAAAATCTGGTGCTCCTTGTAGGTACTCAGGATAGGTTAAAACCAGGTGCTCCTTGTAGGTACTCAGGATATGCCTGTCTACGTGAGGATCGTATTGACGGGTATGGCGGAGTTGCCTTACTAGTCAAATATCATCTCCCTTTTTCTCACTTCCCTATTTCTTCTCATAGTAATGATTTTTCAATTATTGCTGCTATTGTTAGTAATATCTGCTATGTTTCAATATATTATATACCTCATCCTAGTTCTTCTATCTTTGTGGAAATTGACTCTATCATTTCTACTCTTCCTTAGCCTTTTATCTTAATAGGCGACTTTAACAGTCAACATAGTTCTTGGGGCAGTTCAACAACCAATACATACGGAGTATCATTGATGGAACTGTTAAACTCTCATAATCTTTGCTTTCTCAACGATGGTTCTGTGACCCGGCGGACCTCTCCCAATGAAGGCTCAAGTGTCCCTGATTTAAGCATTTGTACTCTTAGTTTAGCTTCCACTATTTCATGGTCTACACTTTCTTCTTCATATGGTAGTGACCATTTCCCTGTACTTCTTAGATTTACTTCTCATATTAATTTTACCATTAGACATTCTCCAAGATTAAAACATCGACTGAATAATGCTGATTGGGATATCTTTAAATCCCATATAGAACAAAAGATGACTTCCCTTCCTAATATCTCACATGGTTCAGAATCAATTTGTGCTGATGTATTAACTAAATTATTTATAGAAGTAGCTGACAAAACTTTTCCGCTGAAAAATGGTGCTCTGAACTTTATTCCATCTCCACCTTGGTGGGATCAAGAATGTTCAGATGCAAATAAAAAAAGGAAAACAAGTTGAGCTCCAATATTGTGAGAATTGTACATCTGAAAATTTTAATCTGGTTACAGATGCTTTCAAGGTAGTTTATTATGTAAAGGTGTGATTATTTTCTATATAGAAATTTTGCAATTTCATTTGTAATATTGTCGACATATCGTTATTTCGTAATTCCACTTGTACGTGGATGAATCAGTCGCCCTAAAACCGCCATGTTAGTCAGAGGACAATAAAGACAGTGAATTCTATTTCGGTTTTTATTTGGTGTACCTCAAACACTAAAGTGGTGACCCCGACGTGATTCAAAGAAACAAAAGGGAAAATAAAAATAGGACGTACAAAAAGACCACCACCATCAGGTGGCCCGACGGCGCCATCTCGGATGAAAGAGGAACAGCCAGAGTGCACTAGCATAACTCTGGCAGCCAACAGCGTGTCCTCCAAGTTGCCGGAGTTCTGGGTGGAGATGCCGAGGCTGTGGTTTGCACAGTTCGAGGCCGTCATGGCGCCTCAGAAGCAGGGTGAAAAGTTCAATTTGGTCATATCGAAACTGGGGCGGGATTCCATACAGCAGGTTAGCGACCTTGTGACCTTACCGCCAGCGGACAACAGATATAACACCTTGAAGGAGAGGCTGTTGCAAGTATATGAAGAAAGCGCTCAACGACAGTTCCAGAAGCTGGTCCCAGAACTGGAGCTGGGATCGCAAAAGCCGACTTAACTACTGCGACGGATGAAGGATCTAGGCCGAACCACGCAGGTATCCGAACAGATGCTCAAGAATTTGTGGCTGTCTAGAATGCCATCAGGCCAGGGCAGTCTTAGCCGTGTGCCAGGACCAGGAAATAGACAATTTAGCAGCCATTGCCGACAACATAATAGAGAACAGCAGGACCGGCAAAGTCGCAGCCATTGTTGGAGCATCATCAGCAGCACCACAGATGCCTGCTGTAGCAGACACATTCACGGGGTTCATGCAGCAATTGAACAAGCTCACGCTAGAAGTTGCGGCACTCCGCAGCGAGGTGCAAGATCGAGGACGTCCCAGGAGTCGCAGTCACCAAAGCTACAGGAGCAGGTCCGCGTCGCGCAAAAGAAGGACTCCAGGGGATCCAGAGTGGCTCTGCAGGTTCCAATACCGGTGGAGGAAGAACGCGAGGAGGTGCGAGGAACCTTGCGCCTGGCGTAATGACAGCAGCGCGGAAAACTAGAACCAGTATATCCGCAGGCGGTGGACGGATGTACTCAGGGACAGGTATCTATTAATCACCGTTTGTTAGTTAGGGATAGTTCATCTAAGTTTACTTTCCTGATAGACACAGGAGCTAATATTACGGTAATCCCGAAATGGTGTGTTAAACAACGCACACTAATTAATTGCGATTTTAAATTATACGCGTCTAATGATAGTGAGATAAAGACATACGGCACATGTTATTTAACAATAACTTCTGGTCTTAGAAGAGATTTAAAATGGTCGACCTAGTTACTAATTTGTACGTTTGTGGATCAAAGACTGTAAACTCGATAGGAGCGGTGAAGAGTATTAATAGTAGCCAGCCGAACGCGGAAACCTTAAGTACCACCGTATTGCGGGCCCTACAAGGTGTTGGAAAGAAATAAAAAGAATTTTAAGATTGCGATAAATAATAAAATTTCTTACGTTTCAATAGACCGTGTAAAGCCAGCGTACATCCTAGACGAGTTCAATAGCAATCAGGTTAGCGGAAACTTAGATCAGCATAAGCAGGTTAATGAACCTTTAAAAATTACTCGTAGCGGTAGAAGTGTTAGCCAACCCGTTAGGTTAACGTGTTGATGTGTAAGCAACATACTTAGTAAGTAAGTAAGCAAAGATTATTTCAACACCAATTTGTATTGCCGGGAGTTGAATCTTTAAGTAATATTGTATTAGGTATATCAGTGTTCACTTTGCACTAGCATAGGCTATATCAAGTAGCTACCTGTCACCGTCAGATAGTTAAATCTCAGAATGGGTAAAACTTACTCAGTGGAAAAAAGGAAGAAGTCATAATCGCTCAGAATGGAGCCAACCAAGCTTCTACGTTCATGGAATTCAAGCTGGAAGTTCTAGGCATCATGGTCACCGTCATATCGTTCATAATCTTCATAGCGTGTGCGGTGGCATCGTATAAAGTGTATGTATACAAAACTAAACGTATGTTACGCCGGGAATTAAAGTGCGCGTCGCAAAATGTTAGTGCGAATGTTACTCAACAACAGGCGTATAGGCCTAACGGTTGCGGAGGTTAGTTATAATTAGACTTAAGACATTGTATTTAGATTAAAAAGAAAAATATGGAATTCATTTATAACTGTGTATATATTTATAACATTTTCACTTTGTCATAGTTTGTATTTAAAAGTATTAGTAGTCAATTTTTGAAGTTATACTTCTTTAGGCGCGTTATGAAAAATTTATGAGAGTGAAATTTTACGATGCGCGCGCACTGTGACACAAAATTATCAGTATAGGCGCCGAGCGTGCGCGAGCGAGATGGGAATAAGACAATCTACAAGTAAAAAGAAATAGAATATGCGTGACGTTAGCAGCTATGCCAAGAATTTTTAATGACCATAATGACATTTGTAGTACCTTTTAAACAAATAAAGGAGTTTTAATTATTTTTTCAAAGAAATTTAGCAATGCTTTTTCACGAAGATCTATTATTACTTAGTTAAAAGGTTATGTAACCTACCTAGTTATTAAATTGAATTAATAATATAATTAAATAATAATAATTATTAATATTAATTAATAATTGAATAATATACTAAATGTTAAATATTGTTAAATTATTAACGCTTAATATTTATTATTAATTATTTAATATTTAAAAAAAATAAGGAAAGCCAAAGAAGTATAACTTCTTACGCGCGCACCATTTTTTTTTGAGTTTATATGTATCTACTTATTTTAAAGAGTATGCAGAGGTGTAATTATTGTCTATATAGAAATTTCGCAATTTCATTTGTAATATTGTCGACGTATCGTTATTTCGTAAATCCACTTGCACGTGGATCAATCAGAGAACAATAAAGACAGAGAATGCTATTTCGGTTTTCATTTGGTGTACCTCAAACACTAAAATTATTTAAAAAGAAAAAAGCAGATAGCTGGAAATCTTTTTGTCTCTCTATCTCCCCTAATGTCCGTACTTCTGTGGTATGGCGTAATATTAGAAGATTAAGGTGTGCATTTACTGAAACTTCTGGTTCTCTCCCCGATTCATAAACAAATCAATTCCTCGACAGAATTGCTCCTACTACAGTTCCTGAAAGAATAATTATGCCTCTGATGCCGTTGAACCCCTCTGGTCTCAATAGTCCATTTTCTATGTATGAAATTAAAGGAATACTATCTTCAGTTATAGACTCTGCTCCTGGTGACGATGGAATCTCATATTCCTTCATCTCTCATTTAGGTGACCAAACTCTTGAATAATTCCTGAAATTGATAAATACACTCATGTTAGCCGGTTCTATCCCTCCACGCTGGAAAAACCAGATCATTATACCAATTCTGAAACCTAATAAAAATCCCTCTAAAGCAAATTGATATCGTCCTATTGCATTATCATCGGTCTTGATAAAACTCTGTGAACATTTAGTGAAAACTCGTCTTGAATGGTTTGTAGAAAGCAATAAATTACTTTGTGACAGTCAATTTGGTTTCCGTCGAGGCAAGAGTACGATGGACAGTATTGCCAACTTTATCACTGACATTTTTTTAGCATTTCCAAGGAATGATTCTGTTGTTGCCACATTTTTAGATGTACAATCCGCTCATGACACTGTAGTGTTGTCAGTTCTCCATAAAAAGCGTATTTGTAACAGTAACAGTATTTGAATGTATCTGTAATGTTATCAAATTTTATCATAAATACTTTATACGAATGACACATCACTCTAATTTCACAAGACTCTACTATTGTAACCAGAACCTTATGGAGAGGTCTTCCTCAAAGATCAGTCTTAAGTCCCATCTTATATTCGTTTTATGTTCCTTCTGTATATATTTATTTTGATAAAAACTATTGTTGCTACAAATACTTAATTTTCCATACCCGCAAGTTCGCATTCTTACTTGCGATACCAGTTTTGAATGGACTAACCAGTTTAAATTATTTTCAATATAAAACGTGTTGTAAACGCTTACAAATCGCAACAGAAACAACAACGATTGTTTACAAAATTAAGAATGTAAAAATAATAATGTTGCAAACTGGCATTGGTAAGATGAGATAAGAAGGGTAGAATGGTATAGAATAGCGAAGCACAGATTAACATGACGTCATTTGGAGAAGGCGTTTGTCGAGAGACTAGCTAATTAGTGGTAATTATAGTAAATAATTGAAATTTTGAATTTTTGAAACTGACACATTAGATTTAAAAACATAAATTTTAAAATTAAAAGAACTTACAAACAGTATCACTTCTAAATTTGAAGAATCACAATGTATGGTAGAAAAATATTCATCTGCGATGGAAGATCTGTTTCAAATTTCTAATTACACCGCATAATGTTATGAGCAGTTGCAGAATGAAACTTATGGTTGCAATTATAAAAGCCAACCAGTCTCCAATTACCACAGACATCACAACATACTCACAGCCTCACCTACACTACAACAAACACTCAGTTAAAAGAAATAATTAAGGCAAAAAAAAGGAATTTAATGTATTCCGATGAAATGGGTCAGGGCATGGGTACTATTGTACAATTAAATGATGGCCAAACATTTATAAACTGCTATCCCAATGCCACTTTTAAAAACATTGTAAAAAATCAAAAACAATGATAATTGTAATAATTTAATAATTTTTATAGGGAACAGGGGAAATGTAAATAAACATGATCTTTTAGTATTATATGAAAGACTTTGTTGTTTAGACTCTAAGAGGATCGTTATGTTTACATTTCCCTATAGCCAAAGCTTTCCTAAGGAAGAAAATGACACAAGATATATTCTTAATCAAACATTGCATACATTGGCAATGTATAATGATAAAATTTGTGTCAAAGATACCAATAGGTATAGCAAAAAGTTTTTTTATCACAAAGGGTATATTATTACCTACCTGCTTTCTTAAAAAGACAGATAACTGTTTCGCTTTCATATTTTATAGAGATGACAGCCAAGAATTTGGCTAGACCCTTTGCTTCTATTGAGCAAGCATTAGATTATAAGACCTTGGAAGAAATTCCAAATAATATTTATTTAAATTAGATAATAGGACAACAGAGCACCACTCTTGCAATAATAAGGTAAGTATATTATATCTTTAAGGAATTGTCACGTATAATGGGGTTTAATCATTTACAGACCACAGCTTATCACCCGGCTGCAAACAGTATGGTGGAGAGATTTCACCGGCAACTCAAGGCAGCGATCATGTGCCATGCTTACGACGACTGGGTTGAAGCTCTTCCGGTGGTTCTTCTTGGCATTCGGACTGCTTGGAAAGAAGATGTTGGGTCGTCGTCAGCAGAGTTAGTATACGGAGAAACATTGAGACTGCCTGGTATGTTCTTCAACCATTCTCCAAAACAGGTCGTAGACTATTCCGATTTCGTGTCACGACTCAGGAATAAAATGCAAGAACTTAAGCCTACACCAGTAGTTCGCCATGGAGCTACTCCAGTTTTCGTCAGCAAAGATTTACAGACGGCTTCACATGTCTTTCTTCGCCAAGACGCTGTACGAAAGTTACTGCAAGCACCGTATGTGGGCCCTTGCAAAGTGATAAAGCGAGGAGATAAAACCTTTGTCATTGAATTTAACGGTAAAGTTGTAACTGTTTCAGTGGACGGAGTCAAGCCCGCATTCATACTTTCATCACCAGATCCAGTGTCGAAGCCAGCGGTGGTGGAAGATCGCTTTACTCGGAGCAGGCGTCGCGTTCGGTTCCCGGATTATTTTCGACCGTAACGGTCTCCGGGGGGGCTGATGTGGCGAACAATAATGTCACTCATCTTTTCCACCGCGTCGGTGATTTTACCGCGGGGTCAAAGGCGAAACCCGTGCGCGATTTACGAATTATTCTTTAGTGATTTATAATTTATCTATTCTTGTATTATCGCTTTCTTTTCTCTAATTGAACTTCAACTCTTATCATTCAACTTTGTTCCTTCTGTATATGCTGTAATAATTATTATATACTTTAGACGTGAAGAAGTTTTCTTTGTCTTCCCACTGCGGCCACTGCCTAGCCTAGAAACTATTACTATATGGTGCTCGCCTCTCGCGCACCTATAATTACCTACCTGCTTTCTTAAAAAGACAGCTGTTTCGCTATCATATTTTATAGAGATGACAGCCAAGAATTTGGCTAGACCCCTTGCTTCTATTGAGCAAGCATTAGATTAAGACCTTGGAAGAAATTCCAAATAATATTTATTTAAATTAGAGAATAGGACAACAGAGCACCACTCTTGCAATAATAAGGTAAGTATATGTGATAAAAATCATTCCCAAAAAATTATTGTGGTACATCAAAATATACAGGGGATGAAAAATAAAGAGTTAGAAATTGAACTATTCTTGAATAGTCAAAAAATAGACTTTTTGTGCATAACAGAGCACTGGCTAAAAAAATATGAAGTTTTGTTTAATTTTTGTAACCACAGGGTTGGTAGTGTGTTTTGCAGAGAAAATGCAATTCATTGTTGTATGTCTATATTGTCCTCCATCAGCTGTCTATAATAATGTTGTTGTTGAGAAAACAAGTTTCTGTGACTGGGCAAATGAGGAGTTACACAGGAAAAGGTTAAAATTATATGAAATGTATGACGAAAAGCAATATAACACTAGTGTGGAATTTAGGGAATATGTTAGGTTGTATTCAAATAATTTCAAAAAAGATTGCAAAATTGCAGTCACAATATTTAAGTTCAAAAATAAAAAATAGCATGGATAAAGTAAAAGCTACCTGAAAAATAATAAATGAAGAATCGGGTGAAACGTCTGACAAACGAACCGATTATATGTTAAAAGTTAAAGGGAAATTAATAAAATCTGACCTAGAGGTAGCTTCTACTTTTGAAGAGTTTATTACAAATGTACCACTAAATACGACCAAGTCCCTGGATTCTTGACCTGCTGCATCGATCTCATTGCTAGAAAAATGTGTACCTGAATGTAATATTAAATTTCAGTTTAAACATATAACTTGTAATGATATCGTTAAAACTTTGAAGCTTATTAATTTAAAAAAAAGTGAAGATATATGGGGTATGTCAATAGTCATTTTAAATTCCGTTATTAATGTAATAAGCTCTGAATTGTCTATAATTTTTAACAGATGTATCGATTGTGGAGTCTTTCCGGACGAAATGAAATTAAGTAAGATTACACCGTTGTTCAAGACAGGTAGTGAGTCTGATTCGTCAAACTTCAGACCTGTTTCCGTGCTCCCCGCGTTGAGCAAAGTTTTTGAAAAGATAATGCTAGACCAGCTTACTTTACATTTTAATAAAAATAAACTCTTACATAATAAACAGTATGGATTCACTAAGGGTCACTCCACAATCGATGCCGGTGTGAAGTTGATTTCGGACATATTTAACGCCTGGGAAGAATCATATGATGGAGTCGGCGTCTTTTGTGACCTGTCAAAGGCCTTTGACTGTGTTCATCCTGATATACTCGTTGGAAAGCTTCAACACTATGGCATTGATGGCAAACCTTCCAGCCTGATGAATTCATATTTAAAGGGAAGGATCCAAAGAGTTCATGTCAATGGAGTCACCTCTCCGGGTTCGCAGGTTTCAATGGGCGTCCCCCAAGGATCGATTCTCGGGTCTTTCTTATTTCTGATTTACGTAAATGACCTCCCATTTTTTGTTAACGAAGTTCATGAGATGGTGTTGTTTGCTGATGACACTTCACTTCTATTTAAAGTTAATAGGAATAACGTATTATTGGACGATCTAAACAATTATATCTCTCGTATAGTTAACTGGTTTAATGTAAACAACTTACTGCTTAATGAGAATAAAACAAAATGTATTAGATTTACAACTACTAGCGTAAAGCGAGATATTGGTAACCTGAAAATTAAGGACAGTGAACTAAACTTTGTTGACAAAACTGTTTTTCTAGGCATAACAATAGATAGTAAACTCCAGTGGGGTGCACACATATGGTGCGTTCCACTAAGCGCTCACGACGATCAAAATGCTCCTTTAGCCATTCCACATACCGACCGCGGTCGTTGTGGTCACGGCGAAAACGTCACTCATGACGTCATGACTAATGCTCACGCAACGCTCTTAGATGGGTCGTTGTGAACGTTGAGAATAATTTGGCGCAATTTTTTTTTTTTTGAAATATGACAAATAATAATATTCAAAGCTTAAAGATGGCGACAAGAAAAATCACATTATTTGATTCAGAAAGAGAAATTGTTGTAGATGCTATCGTTTCTGAAGTACATTTTCATAGTCAATAATACGTGGCCTAAGTTGTCGGTTTTCACGATTATAATTTTTTATAATTGCATCCCATTCTTCATCTGAGCTAGATGAACTAGTTTCTGGAGCTTTATTGCGATGCATGAGCAAATATCCAACTGCCGTCAAAGCCATTTCTATTATATTTAAACTTAAGTTGTTTGATAACTTCACCAAAATTATTTATAAAATATTCAATTATTCTTCACTTTTAACATAAATAAATTTAAGTCACAAATATCAAAACTTATTGTTTATGATTACCTAACCTCCTTAAAATTCTACTATTTTCAAACTTGACATTTGTAATATTTACATGAACGCCCGAAACGCTCCATAATCCATTCCACTTGAGTTAACGACAGTAACATTCACAATCAAGTGGAATGGGGAAATCAGCGGTCGTGAGCGTGAGCGTTGTGAACGCTTAGTGGAACGCACCAATAGAGACTCTTTCGAATAGGCTGAGCTCTGCAGCATATGCAGTAAAGAAAATCCGACAGTTTACTGATAAGGACACGGCTAAAATTGTGTATCATAGCTACTTTCACAGCGTTATGTCGTACGGTATTTTACTGTGGGGTGCTGCTGCAGAGGTTCAATCCATATTTGTGCTGCAGAAGCGGGCTGTTCGGGGTATTTGTTGTGTTTCTCCGACGGAGTCGGTACGGAATAAGTTTAAGGAATTAAATATTATGACACTATCTGGTCAATATATTCTTGAAACCATGTCGTATGTCCTAAAAAAAAATATAAACGATTTTAAAACAAATGGTGACTTTCACCAGTATAATACGCGAAATAGAACTAATTTGAGTGTACGACCAACCAGGCTCCAAAAGATAAACCTTTCCTTATATGGAAATTGTATTCGTTTTTACAACAAACTCCCAAGCGAAATTAGAGTATTATCACTAAACAAATTCAAAGCCCTCGTTAAACGGAAATTAATCAATAAAACTTTTTATAAATTTGAGGAATACTTAAATGATCCTAATCCTTGGTATTGATTTGCTCCAGTTCAAACAACTTGTATGACAATACTTGGCGATTAAAAAGAGTGGCGGAAAGTTTCTTGCCAGTTCTTACCCGCTCTACGCCCTTGACTTGTGAACTGGTAGTAAATGTAAATTTACAATTAATTTAACTTGACAATTCATAAGTGTAATTGTTTACCTACATGAATAAAGACATTTGAGTTTTGATTACAATGATAAAATCCCGTAAAATTACCGTATAGACATAATACTTAATTAAAACATTTACATTCTATAGTTTGTATAACACAATATAAAGAGAGAACAATATTTTGTGTTCAAAGTGCCAACTGGAGTTATACGAAAAAATTCAAATAAGAGCACCATTGTGAATAATTTTGTTATTTATTGTTAAACTAGCAGACCCGACAGACGTTATCATGTATACACGTCTTTAATAAACAAAAAATCTAATTGTAAATCTAAACCGTTCCCGAATCCACTTGAACACACACAAACATTTTAATAAAAATCGGTCCAGCAGGAGGAGTTTCATTAGAAACAGAAAAAAAAAATTTTTTTTACTAAAGGCATAGTTATCTATGGTAAAAAATCTTACCCTTTTAAATTTGAAAAATTGATAAACAATCGTCTTAAAAAATATTTATCCAAATATAATATTATATCTAGCCACCAGTACGGATTTAGAAGTGGCGTCTCCACTGAAGATGCTGTTTCTGCATTAACTGATAAACTGGTTAGTCTTCTAGACAATGGACAAAAATGTATTGGAGTATTTTTAGATCTTGCCAAAGCCTTTGATACAGTCTCTATCCCCATCCTTTTAAGCTGTCTTGAGACTTACGGTATAAGAGGAATCCCCTTGGAAATGTTCACTAGCTATCTTAAAGATAGGAAACAACGAGTGAAAATTGAATCCTTTGTAAGTGATGACTCTTATGTAACTTACGGTGTACATCAAGGCAGTGTCTTAGGTCCCATCCTCTTTCTTTTATATATCAATGCCCTTTGTGAACTTTAGCTAACTGGTTGCAACATCTTCTCTTACGCAGATGATACAGCCCTGTTATTCTACGCTGAAACTTGGGAACAGGTTAAGGATATCTGTGTTAGAGGTTTCTTACTGGTTACAAAACAATCTGTTAAGTCTTAATATATCTAAAACGTTGCGGGTAGTCACAGCGTGCACGTTGTGTCCTCACAAAAAAAAAACTAAATAAATAGTTTTCCTTAAATATATCTAGTCTAAAGTGCTTGTCCGGCTATAATAGCGGAGGTCCTATACCAACAAATGTTATCTACCACATCGAGTGCAGAATATAGTGAATAAGTCATGTTCTAGAATCGTGTTTCGTGGTTTAACTTACGGACTTTTAAATATAGTGAATTTGGAATCCAGATTGGCAGATTTCCGACGTGGTTTTGTATATCTACGACCGAGTTGCTTAAAGAAAATATCGCATAAAGTCGAGGTAAAGACGTGCAAATTACTATACAGAGCATTAATTGCAGTGCCATTTGTACTGTCACACTATTGAAGGAGCATTTATTGCTGTGCAATTTCGGAATTCCTTATATTTCCTATATTAAATAAAATCATATAAAATAATAATCTTTACATTAAATTGGAAGAAAGCGTACCATAAGAAAATAAGTTAAACATTAATGGTAAGTACATCCACTCGTCACAAGAGGGCAGTTTCACCAAGAATAAAAAATATCGTACTAAGCATTCAAGTAAATTAAGTACTTTGAAACAAATACCCAAAATGGAACCCCAATTAAAAATCCTCTTAGAAAAAATGTAGGAAATGAAACAATCTTTCAAAGAACAAAATGAAGAACTGGCTGATAAATTCACGAAAAGCCTCTTAAACACTATAGATGAGAAACTTAGTCCTCTTAAAGGCCGAGAACCAGAAACTAAAAGAAGTGAAAATCTTTTAAACGCGCGTGCAGAACTTGGAAAAAGAAGCAAGAAAGAACAATGTAATACTACATGGCATTGCAGAAACGGAAAATAACACAGCTGAACTCTGGAAAAACGCAATAGATGTATTAAACGTAACAGCACGAAGAAGCGAAGGGGTGCGCCAGTGGGATCATTGGGAGATTAGTAATCTAAGAAGACTTCGCAAGAAAATTGGAAACAAAATAAGACCAATCTTGGTTACTCTTTCTTTAACATGGCGTAAATACGAACTCTTAAAAAATAATAAAAACTTCCCTCCAAAAATATATGCAACGGAAGACTATCCTAAAGATGTCATCTTAAAAAGAAAGAACAGGAAGAGAAAAATGGAAAAATCGCCTTAATAAGGTATGATAAGCTGATAGTAAAGGAGAAAGGATCGACATACTCTAAAAGGAAACGCTCACAATCCAAATCACCATCTGAAAATAAACAGCAACACAAGAATGACATAACGGCTCCCAAGAAAGTAAACAAAACATAATATATTTCACTCCAGAGCAAATTCAACGTCAGGACTTGGAGAACATAACAACAAAATAAAAATAAAACTCAGGATACCGGAAAACCAAGAAAATACACAAATAACAATTACCACGCTAACATAATACGCTGAATAAACACATAACAATAAATATAACCTAGATGTTGGACTAGTCTATAAGCCTGATCGCTCAAAAATTAATCAATTCCTTGATGAGTATTCACTTCAATTAGAAAAAAAGAAAAAGGGCTATAGTATTTGGAGACTACAATATTGATTTATTGCTCAAAAAAGACCATGCCACAATAAATTACACAGAGACGATTAATGAAAATGGATATGCCATTCTTAATCGAGTGGAGTCATCCTACTCCACCCGTGAAACATCATCAACCAAAACAATAATAGACCACGTATCCACCAATATAAAAGAACATAATTTCAACTTAGCTATTATTGAATCATCAATGTCGGACCATAAGCAGATATATCTACAATTAAAGCAATATTCGCCAGAAACAAAGCAGAAGGTTCATTATGAAGCTCTCAACTATGAAAAACTTTTTAAGCTAGTTGAGCACGATGTTTCAAAATGTATTTTAGACTATAATCACATAGAAAAAATAATAATTAATAACATTAACGACAGCAAAATTCGAAAAATCAAAATTATAAATCCACCAAAAACTGATTGGGTAAATAAAAATATAATTAAAATCATAAACGAACGAAACATTTTATGGAAGCAATATAAATCCCAACTAAAAAATATAGAAATAAAGGAACAGTTTGTAAACAAAAGAAACAAAGTTTTCCAAACCATACAAACATCTAAAAGTATTTACTATCAAAAGGCTTTTCAAAACTGTATAAAAAAACCAACTAAAATGTTTAATCTACTAAATAGTATAGCAAATAATAAAGTAAAAGATACTAGTATGCCTACAAAATTAGAAATCAATTCAACTGTAACAATAACTAATCCAATAGAGATCTGTAAATGTTTTAACTCATATTTTTCTACTATCGGGCAAATTCTAACCTCAAAAATCTCAAAACCTACAAATACTACTACAAACATAATTACTTCTCTCTCTAAAATAAAGTCTCAAACATTTCTATCAGAAATATCGACTACCACGGATGAAATCCTTAAAATTATTAGAAATTTAAATAGAAACACATCCATAGGTATTGATGGCATAAGTACGAAAGCACTAAAGTGTGTTAAAAACCTGGTTGTCAACAACCTAACGATTTGCGTTAACCAATGTCTAAGTAAAGGTATATTTCCAGACAGCTTAAAATAGCCAAGGTTACTCCGATTTATAAGTCAGGCAATCGTTCTGATCCTGGTAATTACCGACCAATATCAGTCCTACCA